CCCACCCCCCCAGTCAGGTCCTTTTCAAATAAATGAAGCTGGGCATCTAAACACAGGAGCATCCAAAAATCATTCATCAGTGTTGCAAAACACATCTGTCTGTCACCCCCCCAGGAGAGAGAAGGAGCTGTGAAATAACAGTTTTACCATCATCACCCTCCCTCCCAAGACTAGCCAAGGATTCTGTAGCAAAGCCAACAGAAGAATCCATGTCTCCAGAATTATGTCGGTATTTTAATCAATATATTTCATCTGATGGGTCTCACACAGCTTAGTGGGCTGGTGCTGTGCAACCAGTTATTCTCAGATCTTTTAAACAGGACAAACTCTCTGTACAATCAATAATAGGTCAGAGAATGAAGTGGTACAAGAATTAGTCAGTCTGTTCAAAACACTGAAAGTATGTAACCTTTGGTGCATTATGAATCACAACACACCCTGATGGTGTTAAAGCTTCCTGGTATAACCACACACGTGATTCTACTCACGGAATTGCCCTTTGCAATTTCTCATGCAATAATTAATCCTTGGCTTAGACAGGTGACAATTTTAGTACTAGTGATTCTGGACATGTCAGTCCTGAAGTCCTATAATAGGCTTTGCAATATACATATTTAAAGTAGCAGTGAAGCTTCCTCAAGAGGCAGGAAGACAAGTGCATGGCATCAAGAAAGTATGATGCACTATGTTATACATACAGTACAATGTACCTGATATATACAGTAAGTACGAACAACACTGTAAAACTCCCTGCTTTAAGTACTTGTCATTGCTGACCTTAAGATAATATTCAAATCAACGGAAGTACAAACAGTGGAGTCTGGAAAGTACAACCCAAGTTATGTGTCCAAGCTAATGACGTACACAAATTGGAACAGTAATACTAAAATAGCACACACTATAGCTTATGCATGGAAGAAGTACATAAAAATGGTTAATCAAGACTGGCTGTTTGCATATTGCATTTAATCCAGTTGAGAAACCGGACATGTAGCTTTCTTTAAAAAAAAAAAAAAAAAAAAGGACTCAAAGGCTTTTCTGTTTGCCAAATAACAACCTAAGTCCAGCAAGTACACTCTCTAGGCTCTCTAAGCACAAGATTATTTTTTCTGCTTTTTGCTTGTAGTCTTCCTTGTGGTACCCACCCCTCCAGTCTCAGAAGTCATTTGTTTTAAGGGATAAAGGAAAGGCTACAGGTTAGGGACAGAGGGGGCACTGATTATGTGAAATAAAGTTCCACTGATTTTAAAAACCCTAACAAATTTTTTAATTTTTAATTATTTTTAACAACACCAAGCCTTCCAAATCTCTTACCCATCCTATGTAGACTATAAAATCAAATGTTCCCTAATATATGTCTGAGCAGAAGACATGATTGGAGTTCCGCCATGTGCATCAGCTAGAGGGAAATTAATTGTGGAGACCCAGAAGACTGCACTGCTGGGGAGCCATTAGGACTGGAACTAGGTATTGTAGGACATGGATGGGATGTGGACAGGGCTCAGGTACAAAAATGCTGAAGAGAGAGATGCTGCCTACCTCAAGCTGTCCCAGCTACCTCCTTCCATCTTCACCCCCTGCTCTGCTCCACTGCCACTGACTCCATAGCAGCTCACTACCTCCCTGGAGAAAATATTCCACAGGGAGATACCATCGCACTACAATGAACACTGCAAGCACTGTAAAAGTTGGGAAAGAGATGAAGGGAGTGCACCATATCTCCTAGGATCACAGGGAAAGGAAGAAAAAGGCAAGAAAAGAGTTTAACAGCAACTGTGCTCTAGAACACTGGAATCAGGGTAAAAAAAATAAAGTTATACATCCAAATAACTCATCCTATCACACCCAGGAAAAGTGCAAGAAATGAAGAAGTGCGTATATTGTGGTGTGGCCTAACTAGTTTGGTCCACTCACCTAGCTCCTGCCTTGCTAAATAGGTATGAAATAATATAATTCCACATTAGCAGTGCACTTTCTCCTTTTGCTTTGAGGGCAATGCAAAACAGAAGACTACAGAGGGGAAAAGAAAGGAAGAGGGATAGAAATGAGATCTATTACACTTATTTTTGTGGATCAAACTGTGTACTTGACCCTTTGCCAATTATGAGAAGTGATACCTTCAACAGACAGAGCAGAAGAACAACGAAATGCATTTCCAGGGCATTACTAGGCACTCCTCTTAAGGCATTCAGGTCACCTGACAACTGCAGGCTCTTTCTTATGCAAAGGTATATAAGCCTCTTTGCAAGGAATTACTACCAAAGGGCAATAGGGAGAACTACAATTTCTAAACAAGCATCTGTGTGCCCAAATTCCTGAGACACATACTCACACCCTTGCATCAGGGTCAGGAGCAACTATTAATTATTATGATAGGTCTTCATGACTGCTAACAACACCAATGCTACATTGTTTTTGTTGGTTTGTTTTTTGTTTGGTTGTTTTTTTGGTTTGTTTTTGGGTTTTGTGCCTGTTTGTTCTGCATCACTTCCTACTTTAAATGGCTTTGCAAGTTATTCATCTTGATCTTTCTATAAATGCTGAAACTTCAAAGATGGAAGCTTCCAGTATTAGTCACAATAACCACTATTTCCCTTACTGTAAATTGTTTGGGAACTTTTAATACCATTGCAGCTAGTGTAGGAAAAATACCGTGTCCCATGTTGGATATTCTAGTATCAAACTTTTCTGTCAAAAATGAGAGTGGCTCCTGTTATTGTTTATATCCATGCTTCCTTTAAAGCAAATAACAAAAATGCCTTAAATAAAATTACAAGAAACAGCTACCAAGAAGCAACTATCAGAAGCAGTTTGATGAGGCCAACAAGAATAGAGCTACTTTTCATTATTATTTGACCTCATTTACAAAGGACTGTTTTTTGTGTTGTGTTAGTTTTTTAGGTTTGGTTTGGTTTTTTAAGAATTAAACAAACATCAGGTGTTAACATAACATAGCACTTTACAGTGCATATCAGAATCAGGCCGTAAAAACCACTGCCATGGATTTATTTCTCTACAGAAAACCAAAAGGTAAACAAGTGAGTCACAATGCCCTAGTTTAAGTTTCAGTTGCCATTGGTAACATAGTAAAAGCCATAACTCCATTACTTTTGCAGAAATGTACCACTTCACACCACTTGAGAATCTGGTTTGTAATTTATCCAAATAACACAGAGTAATATAAAGCCATTTTATAAAATGATTTATTCTGTTTCCCATTCTGCAAATGATCAAGAGCATACTACCTCACAGGAAAGTTTCTTAACCGTTTGGTTACACGCAACTGCCTGTAAACTGATTTCAATTCCCATCCTTTCAATAATGGCGTTTCACAACTAGGGATTTCCACCAAGAGAAACGTGTAGCAGGGAGCACTGCTCATCCACTCATTATAATCTCCTTTTGAAAGCTACAGCTCTATTAATATATTGAGCTTCAAATGAGAAACAAGACAAAGACTTCGCGCTCCCTTCTCCTGATCAATCAGGACATCAAACATCCATCCGAAACAGCTCAAGCACCTTAAAGGGATCTCTTCTTCTAATACTGCCACTATTTACAGATCTAGATAAGCTACTGCCTGTTGCAAACTGTGAAGTTATTCAGCTCTAATACAAGATCACCCTTAAAAACAGAACTTTCTCACATGGCTTTCTTCAGTCCATTTTTATATGTCTCAAGTAACAAGGTTTCCTCAATCACTGTAAATAATTCACACATAAAGCTAAAGCACTTGTAGTTTTCGAATCCTCTGAAGGTACCAATCTCTTATCTGGATGTTTATACTTAAAAAGAGTATATGGCTTTATTTACCCTCACTAAAAACTTGAAACAGTTGTATTCACTCACCTCCTGACAGCTGGGAGTGGGGAGATCCACACCAGCCAGAGACACCAGAGCATCAATTGTTTCCAACTCCTGTTGGTAAAAGGTCTGAATTTTGTTTTCTAATAGAAAGCCTTTCACTTTCTCATGCAGCATATTGATTGAGAAATTCTGACTCCCCAGGCCACTAGAAGGACACATATGACATATCAAAAGGCAAGAAATACACTACTAACGTTTTTTACAACAATCACCTAAAGTCAGCCTGCTAGATGGTTTTCAAAGGTCAAAAGGTATTTTATTGTCCTTAAAGAATCTGAATTTAACCCTTAATTAAAACAGACCATTTTTATATGCAATAAACATCCAACTGTTCCTCTTCAATCATTTGCTGTAACAGTGTTGATCTGCGATTTCTGAAACCACACTACACATGCCAATAAGCAACCAGCTACCCTCAAACTGAAGAGAAACGGATGTTTGAGTCAGTTTATTGAGGTTATGTATTTGTATTTTGATGATGACAAGGGCAGCAGAAATTGAGAGCATTTCAATGGAATAGCTCCTTATCCTTACACATAAAACAAAATCAATCAAGGACACTCCTCCATCTAATATGTGGACCTCACTCCCAAATCTTGCTCAAAACCTCAGCTTTTTTTATCAGATGCAAGAGGTCTGTGCACAGTGTTTTACAACCTTCCTAATATTTACTTTGGTTCAGCATTATAATTCTTTTCTCAGATTGCAGACAGATATCTCATCTGTATGGATCATCAATTATTTAGGAGAAAAGCAGGCTGCTACTGTATGCTTGTGCAGAGTCTAAATCACAGTCAGGCCCTGTTCTTTCTCCACAGTTTATTGTAATAACAAATAAGCAATAATAAAATCCCACACTTTGCCCTAAGACCAGTCAGGATATTGCACTTACCTCTGTCCCTCCTCGGGGCCTTGGAAAGGTTTATCATAAACTTCCCTATAGAGACAGGGGAGCTCCAGCATTCTTGAAATCTGAACATCATACACAGGATCATCCACTTTACCTGGAGCAGCAAAAAGAACACACATTTGGCCACAACTGCCATACCAACCTTTTAAGCAAGCATACCTGAGGCAGCAAACAGAGCTTCACGTGCCAGTATTAAATTGGCAAATTTTGTTCACTGTTGTTTTTGTAAAAACAAAACCACAAAGGCCACTCCTGCTTTTACAGTTTACAGGGAGGTAAATGAGCTGTTATGGTGCATTGTAGATTATGCTTTTGTCTGACAATTTATTTAACTGGAATGTATGGTCTCTATTTTACCTTGCAGCAGTCTTTATCCATTAGATGAATTTAACGCACAGTAAGGTGTTAAAATGGGCCAAAGTGAAAAGCAATTTAGAGGCTATTTGAATTGCGTGACTCTCCTTTAATGAAACCATGGTATTATTACTAGCCCTTGAATGGATTATATATTCATAAGTCTTCTGTCTGGAAAGGAGGGTTGAATTCCCCACTCAGATTTTAGCTAGAGCTGAAAAATCTAGACTTTTTATGCAAGCTATGCAGGGTTTTTAAAAGACGGGCTTCTCCCCACCAAAAGAATCATTTCAGTATTGTCTCTGAAAGATTTCACTGGGGAAAACCAACTCTTACACAATAGCACAGACACAGAGAAGACAAGAAGTTATGTAACTGGGAGATCCCAGGGTGTAAACAGTGGACTGCAGAACCCTGCTGCCCACAGAGCTGCCAGATACAGGGGCAGCACTTGCATGCAGATCCATGCCTGGGTGACTCAAGATGAGGAACACCTCCCAGTCATTCTGCAGAGCCAAACAGTTTGGGAAAACCTGGGCTTCAGTGGTACCATGCACCCATAAGCTGCTGTCTGCTCGTGGAATGGATGATAAAGGCTAGGCTGCAACAAACAGCAACCATTTCTCCAAAGCAGCTAACGCTCTTGATGAAGTGCAACATAAAAGGTCACCAACTCCCTTCCCATGGGCTTTGGCTGTTCAATACAGAGAAAACTGAAGAGCAAGTCACTCTCTCACAGATACCCAACCGCAGTATGTGCATAGTATTCCTGTATGTATGCTAATCATCTTTTATAGATTTTCCAAGAACGCCTCATTTACAGGCAATCTGAACCCACACTTTATTGTGTCTTCTAACCTTACACTGATAAAATAGAAATAAAGACATACAGATTAAAATTTCTTCAGAAAAATGAGATACCAGACAATAAAGTAGAAATTATTCTATGAATTACATACAGCTTAGATCTTCTCACAAATTCAGACAACTAAGTTACATATGTCACAGATCCATAACACTCACAAAACCACAAAGCCTGAATTTCTCTTTGTTGCCTATAGGTTCGGACGGGACCTCTGACCCGGACAACATCCCCGATTTCCAGCTTAGTTTTCTGTCTCACTATTTCTTGGAGTTTCTTCATCTGTTCAAACACAGTAAGACTGCTGGGTGTGCTTGGACAACCTGTAGGAAGTGAGGGAAAGGAGATCAGGCATTAAGGCCTTTTGTATTCAGTCAAACACCTACACATCACAGCAGTCACATTACTAAAAAAGGGGTAAGGTCCCAGGCGCCATGTGTCCTGGGCAGCAAAACTTTTGGTTGACAAAGTTAGTTTACAGTATTATATTTATTTAAATAGTTCACTTGGGGGAAGTGTAAAAGGGAGGAAAAACTGATTTACTGCTGAAAATGTCATAGATGGTTTGCAAAACCGAAACATTAATTTGAAATGGGTTTTTGATTTAGTCATGCTAAGATGGATGAGAGGTGAAAAGAAGAGTCAGCTGAACTTTTTACATAAAAGAAGAATGAGTCATATGAGGTAGGGCCAAAGTATTCATGTGATGCTATTTGATGTCTACACTGAGGTGAATGCAACTTGACAGAACTTCACAGTTACATAACACACCTTTGCAGGAGAGTAAATTCTTCGTAACTTGAAATCTGATTAATGATCCAAGTATCCCTGATCACAATTACGAAAGGCTGGAAGAAAGTTTCCTGTGCCTCCTAGGAGCCGTTTTTTTTTAATGGGTACAAATTAATTAACTTCCATTAGTAACACAGTGTCCATTCAAGCACTACTGATGTACATGTAAAATAAGACGACAAGACTGAAACAAGCATTCTGGGTCCTCATTCTATTTCAAGCAGTACTTCATGCAATTCCTTTAATGAATTTAAGTTCCTCATAAAAAACTGATTTGATTGTGGGTCCCCATTATTTTTTTGGAAAGCTGTGCCACAGCATCACCTCTCTAGAAGTGAGACACGTCTTCTAGATTCTAGTTGGGATTGTTGATACCACTTGTTGTATCATTGTTAAATGTCAGGAGGTATTAAATATCTGTCTCTATAAATGGGCCTGTTCCAGACATCAGGGTTTTAAACTTTTACATCAAGCTTTCCTTTCCCCAATCTATGTGTGTGCAACCCTAACAATGGCAGATGACACTAGTAACATTTATTTCAGTAGGATTTGATCAGCTCTGTATCAGGGTTGTCAATCTACTACATGAGCTTTCAAAAAGATGCAAATTAGAAAGTACTCCACACTTCGATCTATGAGAAATGGTGAGAGAAAAAGCAAAAAGAAAGCCAGACACTAGCGAATTCTTCCATTAATGAGTTCAATAATCGCTTCATTTCAAATGCCCAATTTATGTACATTTAGAACTTTCCCAAATCATAAAAGACTTGCTGGCATCCTCCCACTGTATTTTAAGCTATTTTTGAGTTCATTACTGACAGTATATGCATGAACAGGAGGAGAATATGAATGCAAAGAAGAGAAGATGAATCCTGAAACCACTGTTTCACAAAGGTGTGGAACATATACCAGGCTTACGGTCAATGGATTAACTTTGGAAACAAAAGTTGTGGCATGTTTCAGATTTTCAGCCTAGTTCCTCACTAGATGAAGTCACAAAAGGAACCATAAGAAGAAGATTCTCTGAACAACGTCACAGCATAGAATTGAAATACTCTAGTATTCAGATAAGAAAAAGTCACAACAGGTCATAATGTAGTGGTTTTATTGGCATCACCATTGGACACAGCACAAAAAGTAATATGAAACTCCCAAAATGGCCCAGGCTGCAGGACGTGATGGTTTAAAATTAAAAAAGCATTGAATTTGCTCTTCTGCAAGTTTGATCATTTACTAAATTATGCAAGACAGACATGAGCAAAAATTACATTCCTCCAAAGAGGAATCATTTACTTGATAAACTACCTGATAAAGATGTTTCTGCTACCATGGGATTCTTCCAACAGACGCAATTTATAACTCCAGTGCTATCATCCACTGTAAAGAAAAAATTGCAATAATTACAGATTAAGAAAGCAGGTAGTGATGTTCCAAGAAGTGAAGATACATAGATATGTACAGAGATGACTGCCAAGGATATCTCACTCCAACCAGTCTGAAAGGGAAAGTGGGTGCTCAACCCCTACTCATACCTCTGAAATAATCTCCAGAGTAATTTCGGTCATGGAGGTAGCTCAGCACCAGATTCTGTGCTTATATGCATGGTCAGCAAACTAGCAGGTATATTCTCAAAAAAAGATCAAGCACTAATTTAAAGTACGAGGCTTCAGTACTAAAGGATTGGATACAGTACTAAAGTAATGTGAATACACTAGGAGTGCTGCTACCCCCAGCAGCATTCCATGCTAATATTGTGCACAGTCTGCTGGCCCTTCCTGTACAAGAAGATGTTCCAGAGAGCAGAAAGGCAGCTCCCCTAGCCAGGAAGGACAAAGGACAGCACATGCTTGTGGTCCTGCTCTAGACCAGGAATTCATAACTTAAAGTATACATACTGGTGGCACGCAAGCCACTTCCGTTGCTGAAAAAGCTTAACAGCTTCTCTTGAGCACAGGAGCTATCTAGATTTTCTTGTTTTGCTAGTACCGAAAGAAATTTTGTGATTTCTGCCCCAGGCACTGCATTGCCAAGGACAGCAGAAAAAGAAAAAAACCCATAGAAAACTAAAATACTATCAGAAGAATCAACTGTTCAACAGATCAAGAGACTGTATATAAATGGTATGTCCAACAAACTCCCTCTAAATAAAAAGGCACTAAATGTCTGTCAAACCACAACAAGGATCACATTTCATGTCCAGCTAAAACTCCGAGCACCTTGCTCCTTACATGTAACCATCTCCAAGACTGAGCTTCCACTCTTCACAAATTGGAATCTGCAATTTTCTTCTGTGACTACAAAAGTAACAGCACTGTTTACCAGGAAGGTGCTGATTGGTACCTGCAGTTGTTTCCTCTGGGAACCATAGCATCAAAGCAAAATGCCTTTGCATTGTCTCATGTTTTTTGGCACAATCTCCCTATTTGGGGGGTCCAATTACAAATCATTGTCTTGCCTTCCTGTTTCCCAGCAGCTTAGCTTCACATTCCTAATAATAAACATACAGCATTTGTAAGATGCAGGCAATTCCAAATTCCATCACAAAAGTATGCTATCTGTCTCGTTGCTATCCCCTTTTGGGCTGCTGTGTATGCAACTTTAATTTTGTACCAGAGCATAGATAATGATCTAGCTCGTAGGATTTCCTCTCCTTGGTATAGATAAAAAGCAACTATCTTAGTAGGAGTCAGAGCCCATATATACCATGTCAAGCCATTAATGCAAGCCAGCAATGGCAATAAGAAAGAGAGCAGATGACATTTCACAATTACAGGACTGCAGCATCTAGATGGTCCAGCTTGTGACTGGCTCTATTGCACCAACAGTGACAGATAGCTTCGTAAGAAGGTTTTAGAAACAAAACAAAGGAGACTTAGGGATTAGGAGGCCAGACTCCTCCTTGTCAATTTAACAGTTGAAAATGGAGTCCTGGAGAGAGTGACCTGTTCTTGACCACACTGGGAATCCAGGAGCAGAACAAGGCTCTGTAACAAAGCTTTCCCAGTTCACAAATAAATCTTTGAGCAAAAAGGCAAATAACTCCTGAAGCACAGATGAACGAGAGTGCTTGCAATTGTGTTCTAGACAGGAGAATGTTAACCTATTTTAAATGCACTCAAAGTCTTCAAGCTTTTGAAAACTTCCTGTGCTCCCTGTGCCACCCTTCCTCATCTCCTTGGGTTTAAGCTTTCATTTGTTTGGTTTTTCTTGGGTTTGTTTGGTTTTTTTTCTGTTTTGTTTTGTTTGTCTGGGTTTGGAGGTTTTTTTGACCTTTAGATTAACTATTTGAGGGGTAGCATGCTCAAAGCTACCTGGTAAATGAGACAATGCTGTACACTTTTATTTCTTTATAACAAAAATGGTATGGTTCTTGTAGGGTCTACGTGAGCCTACCAAGATCTCAGTAAAGTTTTTGTTTGTTTTTAAGGCAAGTGCCTTTCAGCCTTTCAAAACAGTACCAGAGTATAAGGAAAACCACACTTGACCTTGTTTGGTTTTCTTGGGAAAAAAAAAAAAGTCAGAAAAGCGCATTAGTTAAAATATTAGTTACACTTTAGTTAGATATCCTTCTCCTAATTTATCATAATAATAGCAATAAACAATCAAATCAAAATGTCAGAATCAGGTTTTACACGGCATGTGATTTATTTTTTTTTTTTAAGCCAGGAAAGAGTCAGTTCACTCTCTTTTACAATTATTTTGTCACCATTTCTGGGGTATGGTTTTTACTACTGAGAGGACCTAAGATTCTCTTAAAATTAGTGGTGCGTATTCTGAAGTAGACAGACAGGAAATGGCAGGGGACATAGTGGTAGTGACACAAAGACCTTTCAGTTCTCTATCAGAGAAAAAGTACAAAGGGGAAATTGCTTTTAAGCAGATGGAAAGTGAGCAAGTATCGAACAGTGTGCGGCACTCCAACTGATGCAATGCCTGCTCTGTGACTCACCAGCCAGAGTCTGTTAAACTGAGAGATGCAAGAAGTTACAAGCAGGAAACTGTCTAAGAAGTTACAATTCTATGCTGCAGAGTCGGCCTGCCTGAAAGGGATGGCAGGCTGGGGAGGGGCACCCTGGCAGGTAGCCTTAAAGCTCAAACCAGGAACTGCTGGAACAAAAAGTGGAGTTGGATGTGAAAGGACAGCAGGAAGCCAGGCTCACTGAGAGCTGTATTTAAAGGTCGGCTGATATAACACTAAGGCCTTCCACTACTCTGCAGTTTCTTTTTATTTCTATTCCTCCAATTTCTGCTTCAAACAAACATTTCCAACAACTTTACATCCAAACTAATGCCAACAGTAGCATGGGAAACCCTTGCCCACAGAATTGTATTTGCTTGGTCATCTTGATTCAGTCTTCCTCTGTTCTCATGAGGTGATAACTGCATTTGCATACTACTGTGATAAAAGAATAATAGCTGACATTCAATTTATGTTTCAGCACATTACACCATCAATTACATCTCCGTCTCTTAACTTAGGTGCTTGTTTAGACTGTGCTACTTCAAGTGCAAGAGAAACTCATGCTTCAAAATATTTGCTGTCAACTTGTTATTTAGCTTAATGGCAGAATAATAATGAATATCCATAAATTGGACTAAAAAAAAAAACATAGAAAATATCCACTCTAAGAGACTTGCAAGGACATTTCTATACAGCACAGAGTCAAGTCTAAACAGCTGCATCCAGTGCAGGGTGTGCTATATGCACCAGCAGTTAATGATACTCTGCAGCAGTATGATGCAACTGCAGGTGTTGTGGAAGCTGGGACCTGATTAAGCTGTCAACTGTATCTTCACAATACTCCTGTGAGTCAGGGAATTGCTGCTGCCTCAATTGTTTAAGTGAGAAAATTGGGTAAGATGGGCTCCGTGATTTACCTCCATCAGGTGGAAACTAATGTCAGAGGAAGACACTGGACATGAGTCCTTCAAGTTCTTCAAAAGGATCTATGCATTTGTCTCCCCTTCCCTACTGTAAGATGACCTCCCCCACCTCTTGAAACTTGCCACATCACCACTACTCCACTGTGCTTTTTCTCCAGACGAAAAAGACAGCTGAACAAAATGACAATCACATGTTTCCATGTTAATAAAATAGTCTGAATATTGGGAAAAGCAACAGGGACAAGTCAGCTCCCAGCTGGCGTTGGCAAGGACTGGTGCTATGATGCATTGAGTTAGATTTGCTAAGGCTCTTAGGCATCTAAATATAAACAAGCTCCTGACTGCTATTAAAAGCTGGCTCCAAGACACAACAAAACATACAAAAAGTCAGAAGGGATTTCTAAGGTTCAAAAAACGAAGTGACTTCCCATTTGCAGGCACTGTTAAATCCGTTTATATCTGACCAAAGGAACTGTATATATGAGAGGAAGATGGTGGAGTCCAGTGGCAAAGCAATAACCAAAATGAAGACTTGCTAGATGACTCCAAATGAATCAGTTGCTCTGCTTTAACTATTTGTTCCTCTACTTTTGTGGAGATAAACAGGAGCTTCCCTAAGTTTGCTAAGTAATCTGAGCTGCAGATACACATTGTATTAGGGTAAGAGCACAGTTGTTTCAAGAACAGTGATCAAATAAGGCAACTGTTAAGTACTAACGGTAACTAAGATCAGAAGGCTGGTAAGAACAAGAAGAAAGAAAGAAAGTTTTCTTACCTCCATAATTACAAAAGGCATCCTGCTCTTTCATTTGAACCACTATTCCGACAACATCCACCTGTCTTACTGGACGTCCGTTATAAAAGAATATACCTAGACACAGAACATTCTCAATAAGTGTAGCTATCTATTTATTTCAACATCCTATCCTACATAGTCAGATCTGTCAGCAAAAAACATATTTTCTTACATATTTAGTATGTCTTCAATTGTATCTATGCCTACTCATGCAAAAAATCCCCTGGATCAGTGAGGACTGGGAACACTAAAAGGAAGAATTAATCAGCTCTACTTAGGACAGCAAAGCTTGCTTTTATAGAGTGTCAGAACTTTATTAACCTCTTGTTTTCTTGCATATTTGGATCTGAAAAACAGTTTGCCTACTGCAGGCATTAGGGGGTTTTTAGGTTTTTTTTTGTTGTTTTGTTGCTTCATTTTCGTTTAGATTTGGTTTTGGTTTGTTTTGGTTTTTTACATCTTCATCAGGCTTCAGAATAAATAATAGAACACAATGGAAGCAGTTTGAGCTTCTCACAATGCAGCTGTTACTAATTAAGGCAGAGCCTCCAAAACAAAAACTAACATAATTCTTTCATTTCTAAAAGAACAGGACCCATTGGGGATGGGGGAAGAGAAACAACCCTCTTTGATTGCGGGGTGTACTAAGCAGTCATCATGGAGAGCATCCTGAACTTGAGTTGCTGAAATAACACATTCTAAAAACACCCCTTCAAAGCTACTTTTGTGCATCTATAAAGAAGACTTGAATAGGAATAACATGTAAAAACATGTCCAGGAAACAGTGAGGAAGGAGAGCCCAGGGAACTTTGAGAGCACTGAGGTTGCCACATGCTGTAATCCCTTTCAAGAGAGTGACAAATGTTAACAAACACCGATGTAAACATTATACACTGAAGCTTCACAGTCCACTAGCAGGAGGATGACAGGGCAATAAACTCCACATATATCCCGTGCTGATTAATTTTCAGTCAATGTGTTTTCTTCAGTTTTCAAATACCGTTGCTTTACTGAAATATGCCATCTGGGATATTCAATAACTGTCTTCTAAAAACTGGATAGCTCAAGGGACTCAGAAGGGAACATTTGGCTCCATACAGGGTAGCAAATCTTATTCTTACAAAGGGAAAG